ATACAAAGGGGAATTTTCACTAGATGTTGCAAACTCAGATGTCTACGAGGTCAGGGAACTATGGCAACCAGTGGGGTGGGAGTTGCGGTGACTTCCTCCAAGCAGTCAGCTGTCGCCGCATGGGACTGCTGGCCCCAGCTGCCAGAATATTCAACTCTTCTAGAGGTACCGAGAATTTGGATGATTAATTGAAATCTATTGGTATGTAAAATATTGTATGGGCCTATCAAGTATACACCTCTAAACCAGCTTTCTTGTTTCTGGGAGAGTCATGAAGCTAGGGGCTCTGGAAGGATCCTCTAGCTTGGGTTGATTCTGAAATACATGTGTCTTCTAAAGAAGTTATTTCACTTTAAGAAATTACTTTAGCCATGGGAATCTCAGCTCACATGAGAGCCTGTGTGTGGACCCATACTTGTGTGCCAGTAGGTTTTTGGCCCCCCTCAAATGACACTGCTCACACACACTTGCTTGGTACCAGGCTGCTTGCTTGGTACCAGGAGCCTAGCCCTAGGCCAGATGGCAAGTGCTGCTTTTCCAATGAGCTCATCGCAGTAAACAGCAGGCTTTGCTGACCAGACAGCCCTTCCCTCACACGAAGGGAAGAGGGGCCACAGGGCAGTAGTAGACACAGAGCTGGCTGAGTCAGGCTTTGGGGCCTACCTGCCTGAGTAGGCCTGAGCTAGCAATGACTCAAAACTGTGCCGCATCTAGGAAGTTCACATTCTTACCAATCTGACTCCTCCATAGTCTCAGTCATTACTTAACTACCAAAGCTAAGAGTCCTACTCATGTCTCAGCTTACTAGTGACATCTCAGTGGGTGCAAGGTTGACCTACCTCCTGTAAGCATGTGCTTTCTATGGGCAAGGGGGTTCACTGCATTGGGAAAAGCTAGAGAATTCTCATCAAGCAGCCATAGGCCTGGAATTTCAGGTAATAACAATAGATGCCATCTTACTCTCTGGGTGCATTGCTTGTGTTGTATTTATCATCTCGACACCAATAACAGTTGCAGGGCCTTATCGAGGACTTTTACCCACCAGCTGTCTACATGTTGCCTGAATGTCAGAAACAATATGCCATTGGTATCTCAAATACCATCAGGGTCAACCATGTTGGACAGGTTTCTTTCTTTATTTCTTTTTTAATCGCTTTATTAGGGGCTCATAAGACTCTTATCACAATCCATACATACATCAATTGTGTAAAGCACATTTGTACATTCATTGCCCTTGCCATTCTCAAAACATTTGCTCTCCACTTAAGCTCCCAGCATCAGGTGGTCATTTTTTCCCCTCCTTCCCCCCTCCTCCTTCCCTCATGA